TATTTAAGGTTAATACCAATAACCTATTAACCTTAAATATAAATGTATTAAATGCTCCAATCAAAAGACATAGAGTAGCTGAATGGATAGGAAATTATTACTCACACATATGCTTACTACAAGAGACCCGCCTCAGAACAAAACACCTACACAGACTAAAACTGAAGGATTGGAAACAAATATTCCAAGTGAATGAACAGAAAAAATAAGCCAGGGGAGCAATACTCATATCAAACAAAAGAGACTTTAAAACAAGGGCCATAAAAAGAGACTAAGAAGGTCACTTCATAATACTCAAAGGAAGAATCAATCAAGACTGGAAAATCATAAATATGCATGCACCCATCTTAGGAGCACCCAATAATATAAGGAAAATCTTGGAGGACTTCAAGAAAGATATTCACAGCAATATAATTACAGTAAGAAATTTTAACCCTGCCCTGTCAAAATGGATAGATCTTCCAAACAAAATATCAAAAAAGATATTGCAGCATTGAACAATTTACTAGATCAAATGAACTTAACTGATATATATATATATATATATATATATATATATATATATATATATATATATAAGCTTTCATCCAAAAGCAGCAAAATACATACTTTTCAAATGCACATGGAGCATTTTCAAAGATAGACCACATGATAGGACACAAAACAAGCCTTAACTAATTCAACAAAATTGAAATTATATCAAACATTTTATCTGACCACAAAGGACTGAAACTAGAAACCAACCTCAAGGAAAAAAGTCAAAAACACTCAAACTCATGGAGATTGAATAGCATGCTATTAAACCATGAATGGGTCAAGAATGAAATAAGGGAAGAAATCAAAAAGTTTCTGGAAACAAATGAAAATGAACTCACAACATCCCAAAACTTATGGGACACAATGAAGGCATTCCTGAGAGAGAAGTTCATAGTGATACAAACCTACTTAAAAAAGATAGAAACATTTCAAATAAACAACCACACTCTACACCTACAAGAACTGGAGGAACAACAGCAAAGACAGGCAAGAGCAAGCAGAAGGAAGGAAATAACCAAAATCAGAGAAAAATTAAATGAGATAAAAACTAAAAGCACAATTCTAAGGATCAATGAATCCACATGCTGGTTCTTTGAAAAGACAAAAGAAATTGACAAACCTTTAAGCAGACTAATCAAGAAAAAGAGAGAGGACCAAAATAAACACAATCAGAAATGAAAAAGGAGAGATTACAATTGATACTATAGAAATACAAAAGATTATAACAAATGAATACAAAGAACTATATGACAACAAATTTTGAAACCTAGGTGGAATGGACAAATTTCTAGAAAAATATGATCTCCCAAAACTGAATTTTAAAAATGCAGAAAGCATGAGAAGACTGAATAACAGCAGGTGAAACTGAAGGAGTAATAAAAAAACTCCAGCACACAAAACCCCTGGACCACAGGGTTTCACAGGAGAATTTTACAAAGCATTTAAGGAAGAGCTAACCCCTATTCTTCACAGACTATTCCAAAAAATCCAAGAAGATGGAAGACTCCCAAACTCTTCTTATGAAACCAGCATCATCCTAATCTGAAAACCAGATAAAGACAACAAAGAAAGAAAACCACAGGCCAATATCACTGATGAACCTAGATGCTAAAATCCTGAATAAAATATTGGCAAACTGCATCCAGCAATTCATTAAACAGATCATACACCATGATGAAGTGGGATTCATCCCAGGGATGAAAGGATAGTAAAATATTCACAAATCAACCAATGTAATATATGAAATAGTGTGAAAGACAAAAATGATATGATCATATCAATAGATGTGAAAAAAGCATTTGATAATGTACAGCACCCATTTATGATAAAAAACATTAAGCAAAGTGGGAATATAGGGGTCATTCCTTAACATAATAGAGATCATAAATGAGAGACCTAAAGCCAACATCATATACAATGAGCAAAAACTAAAGACTTTTCCACTAAGATCATGAACGAGTCAAGGATGTCTGCTTTCACCACTTCTATTGAACATAGTATTAGAAGGGCTAGTCACAGAAATCAGACAAGGAAAAGATATAAAAGGCATCCGAATTGGAAAGGAGGAAGCAAAAGTGTCGTTGTTAGCAGATGGCATGATAGTATACAAAGAAAATCCTATAGACTCCACCAAAAACTGCATGACTTGATAAATGAATTTGGCAAAATAGTGGGATACAAAATCAATATTCAGAAACCAAAGGCATTTTTGTACACCAACAATGAAATATCAGAAACAGAAATCAGGAGAAAAGATCCCATTTGATATAACAACAAGAAGAATAAAATACCTAAGAATAAACCTATCTAAGGAGTAAAAGCCCTGTGCTCAGAAAACTACACAACTCTGAAGAGAGAAATTAGGGAATACACACACAAATAGAAGCATGTACCATGTTCATGGATTGGAAGAATTAACATCATCAAAATGTCCATATTACCCAAAGTAATATATAGATTGAATGCAATGCCTATTAAAGTACCAATGACAAATTTTACACATACAGAACATTTCAAAAATTTGTATGAAACTGTAAATGACCCTGAATACCTGTTCAATTATGTGCAGGAAGAAGAAATTAGGTGGGATCACAATAACGGATATCAAACTGTATTACAAAGCCACTGTAGTCCAAACAGCATGGCCCTGGCATAAGAACAGACACATAGACCAATGGAACACAACAGAGAGCCCAGAAATAAACCCAAGTCTCTATTGTCAATTAATATTTGACAAATTGTGCAGAAATACAAAATGGAGTAAAAATTGCATTTTCAGCAAATGGTGTTGGGAGAGCTGGACAGCTACATGCAAAAAATGAAACTTGATCACCAATTTACACCATACACAAAAATAAATTCAAGGTGGATAAAAGACATAAATACAATTTGTGAAACATTAAAGTCCTAGAGGAGAACATAAGCAGGAAAATCTGAGACATTCCATGCAGTAATATTTTCACTGATATGTCTCCCAGAGCAAGAGACATAAAGGAAAGAATAAGCAAATGGAATTGCACCAAAATTAAAATTTAGATGTGCTTCTGCATGTCTAAAGAAAAGAGCGTTAAAATTAAAAGAGAACCAAATGTATGGGAAAATATATTTGCCAATGATACCTCAGAAAAGGGTTTGATCTCCAGAATATATGAAGAACTCACACCACTCCACTCCAGGAAGAAAAACAACAGAATTAAAAAATGGGCATATGACCTGAACAGACCTTCCTCCAAGGAGGATATACAGAGTGCCCAGAGACATATGAACAGATGCTCAGCATCACTAGCCATCAAAGAGATGCAAATCAAAACCACGAGATACCACTTCACACCAGTGAAAATGTCCATCATAAACAAATCAACATACAACCATTGGAGAGGATGTAGAAAAAAGGGAACCCTAGTGCACTGTTGATGGGAATGCAGACTGGGGATGCCACCGTGGAAAACAGTGTGGAATTTCCTCACAAAACTAAAAATAGAACTGCTTTTTTTACCCAGCAATTCCACTGCTGGGACTATATCCTAAGAACCCTGAAACATCAATCCAAAAAACCTATGCACCCCAATGTTCATAGCAGCACAATTTTCAATAGCCAAGTGCTGGAAGCAACCTAAATGCCCATTAGTAAAGGAGTGGATCAAAAAACTCTGGTACATTTATACAATTGAATGTTATGCAGTAGAAAGAAAGAAGGAGCTCCTAACTTTACTACAGCATGGATGGAACTGGAGAGCATTATGCTAAATGAAATAAGCCAGGCAATGAAAGACAAATACCACATGATCTCACCTTTAAATGGAACTTAATCAACAAAACAAACAATCAAGCAAAATATAACCAGATACATTGAAATTAAGAACAAAATGATGGTAACCAGAGGGAAGGTGGGAGGGGATAATGGAGATAAGGGGAAAAGGTTTTCACAAACATTTATATAGGGTGCATGGACTAACCAAGGCTGGGTGGAAGCACAGGAGGGAAGTGGGGATGTTTGTGTTGGGGGCAGTGTGATGGCAAGTAAATGCACATAACTGTAATTGAACTATACAATAATTAAAAATAGAAAATTAAAATTAAAAAGGTGTGATATATATACACAATGGATCACTACTCAGCCATATGAAAAGATGAAATATACCATTTCTGACAACTTGGATGGAGCTTGAGAATATCATGCTAAACAACATAAGTCAGAAAAAGTTAACCATGTGATTTCATTCATGTGGGATATAAAACTGAAATCAACAAATGAACAAACAAGAAAACAAACAAGTAAAAACTCATAGACACAAGTAATTGTGTATAGTTGTGTCTAACACAACTATAATTGTGTTATAGTTACCAGAGAGAAGGGGTTGGGGTTGGTAAAGGGTAACAGGGGTCAAATATATGGTGATAAAAGATGATTTGACTTTGTATGTTGGGCATGCAATGCAATATACAGTTCATGTATCATAGAAAGATAGGCTTGAAACCTATGTAATCTTACTAACCGGTGTCACTCCAGTAAATTTAATTTTAAAAGAATGGCTAAGTTTGTCTATATCTAAATTAGAATTTTCTGGAGTAAAGTAAAATTGATTTTTTATTTATTCTTTAGTAAGATGAAGAGCTTTGACAGCATTTTTCTATCTTCTGACCAACCAATGTCTGTCTCCTTGTTGAACTGTTTATTATTTGGAAATAATTTCAAACATACAAGAACATTACAAAAATAAAGCTATTTCAAAATTCATATATCCTTTACCCAGATCATCTACCGTTGTTAATATTTTCCTCTTTGCTCTCTTTCTCAAAGCATGAAAGTTTTCTGAATTATTTGAGGGTAAATTGCATTAGCCATAATCCTTAAACTCTAAATAACATTTCATGTTCAAGTATGTCCTACGAATAGGAACACCTTTCTACACAATTACAGTTTCATACCTTTAACTGAATTTGAACAATCAGAGACAGCTTACCATCAGTATTTGCATCACCTCCAAAATGTTGGCTGTAGAAGAGCATCAGTTCAATGTTGTAGCATTTGTAGATGACCATGAGCAGTACAAGGAGGAGGAAGATTATTTCCACACCTCCTGCAAGCTCAATTTTGTAGATAAAATATGGAACAAACAAAACACACAGGAAAAGGTAATGAAATTAGCCATTCTTGTGATCAGATTATAATTCTTGTCTATAAGATGTACAACACAATCTGTTTTCCTTCCACAAGATTCTTGCTTAATGCAGTAAGTAGCTTTGTTCTTGATATGTTTGTGTAACTCAAATTCATGTAAAATTGTGTCTATTCTAAAATGTTCTAGTTGGTAAGTCTATATACAAAGAAATGTCACTCTCAATTTTGTTTGAACACATCTAGATCTCCTATACATACTTTTTATTTAGATGTACTTCAGGAAACTGTTAGAGCTACCTTTTTCTGAGTCCAAGGCCAAGATTTTGTTGTTTCTGTTAAATTATCTTACTGGCTCAAAAAGATTACAATGTAGTACTTTTCAGGCCACAGACCCTATTCTTCTACAGGGAAGCATCATAAAATTAGTATCAGAATCAAATAAAATCTAATGAGCTTGTAGGATTTAACTGTTTCATTTTACCCTAGGAGAACATAATCCAATAGAAGGTAAATGGGGCGGGGGGGGGGATTAGCTTATTCATTTTCCCTATTTATCTGAATAAATGACTATAATATATAGGTAATATAATATACCTCAAGAGGATAAAAGAGAATGAAAATGAAATATCCAAGCTAATCACTTTGCCTTTTCAGCACCAGGAAACCTGAGAGTAGCCTTAGGCTGCTCCAGTGGTGCATCCTTAAGTCTTTTAGACTTGGAACAATTAAATCAACACATAATGGTAGGATTCATGATGTATCCCAGGCTCAGGGAATATGGACTTAACTGTAGCTTAATTAGTAATATTAAGAAATCTAGGGCGTATCATCAAATGAGTATCATGAAATTTAAAGAAATAGGAAGTCAGAAGAGAATTTAGAATGTGAATTCTGCAATGTCTAGAGCAGAAATGCTGAATCTGAAATACATCAGACTAGTGGCATATTTTCTATTGAGGGACAGGGATATACATATTTAGCTAACTTCCCCTTAATATAATTGTATAATTACCAAGTGACTTTTATTAATTCAGTTTACCATGTAACTAGAAACTGGAAAAGGGAGTAGCATTCTAGTTTATACATCAGTTACTTATGAGTTTGGTTTGTATCAATCAGCCTCCCTGTATGGATCAATTATGGGGCATCATTAAAATAAAATTTATGACCCTGAGAGACTGCAAGTGTTTAAGGTCTCTTGACAATCATATCATCAACATCCCCTTGAGAATGTCCCCTGTTTCAATATAGGCTTATTGCTTAAGAGAAATTAGTCATGCTCAATATAACAATTAAGATTAATATTAAGAAAAACATATATAATATATACTACAAGTGATATATTTTATAGATAAAAATTTCAACTACTTTATCTATTATCTAAGTAATCCTTTAGGGCAAGAGTTGTTGGCCCAAATGTATAGGTGAAGAATCCGAGATTCAGTAGTTTAATAATACACTTACCCAAAATCATACACTTAAGAAGTGGCCAAGATGGGACTTGAGCCTAGATATCCTAACTTCAAATTCAAGACTTCTTATTACATCACAGATTTATAAGCTCCATCCTGGAAAATGACAAAGGAAACTCTTCTCCCCATTCTTTCATGTTGCTAGTGCTTCTCAACACACAACTTACAGTGAATTATGGCTCTTTTGCCCTTTCAATTTCAAAAAAAGAAGCTAAATTACAATCCCCCGCATAGAATTAAAGGACTGAGATTTCAGGCACTTCATTAGAAGGTACTGAAGAATGCTGTAGCTGTATTAGGGAGGAAAGAGGGGATTCCTGGAGTTAAAAAATATGAAGGAAAGTTTTAGGTTTCATGGGGAGAGAGGGAATTTGATCTTGGAAAATAACTGGAGTGAGACAGGAGATGGTGGTGGCCAGAGATAGCATGGACAGTAAAGAGAGTCACTGAGGGTGGGAGGCAGAGATGGGTGGGGCAGGGGGCTGAGGTGGGATGAAATGGACACAACTGTACTTGAATAACAATACAAAAGAAAAATGGAACCAATAAATAAATATATTAATAAAAGACTAATTAAACTGCAGATTCTCCTATCTAGAAAAAGAGTCACCGAGTGGAAATGTAAGAAACATAAATAAATGTCACTCCTTTTGAGTAAGGAGAGAAGGGGAAGGGTATAACAAGGAAGGAAGTCAAGCTGCTGTAAGGGACAAAATGTGTTAATAAGGAACATAACAAGGGACACATACCAAGTAGGGGCAGGAAATTGGGATCTGTCTCTCTTCTACCTACTGCAAAATGTAGTCAATTTGAAAATTAAACCACAAAGCCCTGTCTGGATAGTTCAGTTAGTTAGAGGTTACCAAGGTTGTGAGTTCAATCCTGGTCAAGACACACATGCACATACAATAATCAACCAATAAATGCATAAATAAGTGGAACAACAAATTTATCTCTCTCTTGCTTTTGCTTTCTCTCTCACACTTTCTCTGCCTTTCTTTGGTCAGAACACCTTTCATCTGTTTTCAAAGTAATTGAATGGAAATTTTCAGCAATTTCTATGTTATTTACAGAGTAAAGCTGCTATTAGGTAGATGGAAAACTTCATCATCAGGAATAATTTGTGCTCTCAGTTAGCAGACACCTTTTTCAGTTGTAAATTTATGGGAGAAAACCATGGTGTGAAAAGTACCTTTGTGGTTTTGGGGCCCATTTTATAAAAATGTCTGTGAAATATATTACCTAATGATGGCTGTTTATGTTGAAAACTGTAAACCTAGTTCCTGAGACTCCACCAGTATTCCTTGATTCAGCTCAGGCAGTCACATTAAAAAGGGAAACATGTATTCTATAATCAGAGGGCAGAATTGTCATCACACAGATGACATCTGGCGCTTTTTTTTGTTTTCTTTTTCCAACTTCCATTGTTCATCTCAGTAGGGCCTATACTTCTAGGATCATTTCCTGACTAAGAAGGTGAAAGTCATATTTGTACTATATCTTATATACATTTCACAAGAATAGCTATAGCCAGAACAGCAAATGTTTATGGGATTGTAACTTTTTCTAGGCACCTAAAGTTCAAGTTTAGTACTTTTCAACCTTTTTGGTTTGAACCCAACCATTTTTTCACATTGAACACAAAGATCAGGTAACATAGTCTATGACAGATAACATCTGAAGCCAAGGGACTGGAGAGGGGGAAGGTAAGAAAAGTTTTGAGTTTGCTCAAAAGTTGGGAATCGGGTTAGGAGATTGTACCTGAGGGTTTTCTAGAGAGGTTGTGTTTTCAAGCTGGAATGGTAGCACTGGGAATAAAAAGAAAAAGGTACTAAAGAGAGAGGGGCAGAGAGATAAAGAGAGAGAAAGATTCAGTGTTCAGTGATATGCCTAACATTGTGGGGAAGAGAGTATTCACAGAGAAGCAACAATTAGAATTTCTTCAGCTTAAATTCAGAGAGTTGTTTCACACACACACAAAGTAGAGTGAACATCTTACTGAAAAGTTAGTTGTACTTATTGTTAAATAGTTTATCAGAGAGTGAGGAAGTAGTAGTGCAGGTAGAAGTTGCATAGGTAAGACATCTTGCTTGGAGAAAGCCTGACCCTATGAGTTAGATGTATTACACATGAGTTTTCATGTTTTAAAAAGGTATTTCAGATTATGAAAGGATTCATCAAATGTTTCATTAAATGTTTCTTCTTCATAATGATCACTTAAGTAATTTTTAATATTTTAGTTTTAGTGGATTAGGAAGTTATTATTCCCTAAAACAAACCATTCTCCTATTCCAGGTGGAAACATTGTGGCCACTAAGTCTAAAGTATGATGTAATAAACCCTGAAATGTTCATCTCCAAAGGAAGTATCTGAAGTTTCACAAGACCAGTCAGACCTCTGTCTGACTAAAAAAGTTGGAACGTGGCCATAATGCTTTTTATTTTCCTGGAACCCCACCATTGTAGAGATCTGCTAAGGAAAATAGATTAAAGGAAGATGAACTTCGCCATTTACAATTTTTACCAAGCACAATGAAGACTTTTAATTTCTACCTAAAACACAGAATGAAAACTGATACACTTTGAGCAAAAAAAAAGGGTTTTGCCCATATAATGTTTCAGCAAGATGGATACTTATGTTTAAAAATCAAATGACTTTTTTATATCCAGTTTTTTAGCTTCACTTGAAATCTCTGAAGTCCTCATATCCCTGGAATCACATTCCAGAAAACATGGCAGTAATATTCTAGAAAGGAGTAGTGACTGCCTCTTTAAAATAAGACATATATTCTGTGTTTTGTTGTTTCTAGTATCCAGCCTTCATTTTTAAAAAAATAGTATCTGCCTGGCCCCTGAGGTCTTTTAATTTTAAACCCCCAATCTGGAAAGTGACTCTCTTTGGAGGGAATGGGGGTATCAGGTGGAGGAAGGCAGAGGGAAAAATGAGACAACTGTAATTGCATAACAAATAAAATATGCTTAGTTAAAAAAAGAAAACAAAATGCACATACATAACCCAGGGCAGACACTAATCAAGACAAGATCACAGATAAATACTCTTTACCAATCCAATGCCTGTTATCCATCTACCATCTTATTGTGCTGATCCTCTAGGAAGAGCATTTTCACCCAATAAGTATTTCTGAGCACTTACTATGTTCTGTGAACTAAGAATATAGCAGTAAATAAGAGAAAACAAGTATTTTTTTTTTATTTTGAAGGTTGAAGATTATAGGCTATAATGGAGGAATGATACATGATCTATCCAATTCTTTCCATGCTTGTTGTTTCAATAGGATTCCTCTTTCCTGACAAGTTACACTTAGAATAAAATCCAAAATCATTGTCATGACCTAAAGGCATGACACAATCTGTTGTAATTTCTAATCTTATTGTCTATGTAAATCTGTCATTAGAATCTTCTGATACATATTTTAAAGATTTTTATTTTTTAGACAGAAGGGAAGGGAGGCAGAAAGAGAGGGAAAGAAATATTTATGTGTGAGAGAAACCTA